TTCGATTGAACAGGGAAAAAAGTAGACAATCTCATTTCTTCCCTGAGAAGTATAGTTTCAATGTCTGTATTGTTTTGCCTATTTACTTTCCCTATCATTTTCGTTACTTGTTGAGATCTTTCAGCTTTCTTATCACAACTAGAAGTAGATGCATCATTGGATTCATGAATAACAAATTCTTCTGAATCGCGATTTCGACGAGAACCGTTTGTCTGATGTTTAGCAGATTTCATGGAATTGTTATCTATATATTTTCCAGACATTTTGTTATTATGGGAAAAACTTTCATCGTTTCCATTTACTTGAAGTTTATCTTCTTGAAGATTTTTTTGTTGTCCGTCATCTCCTGCAGCCGGTGACTTTTCCCACCATGCCTTGTAGTTGGTGATTGTAGGCTGAATTGGAATAGTGTCCGTGTCGATCCAAGATTTACTTTTCTTGAATTTCTGTGCTCTCTTTTCATGGTTACATTTCATCTCAACTGAAGAGGTAACAACATTTATATGATCCTTTCCTTGGTATTCGCAATCAGTAGCGCTATTTCTAGTTGCTTCGTAATCCGGTATACCATCCATTCTTTTAGGTTTTGAAAAACGTTTACCTTTGTTTGGAAGTATGAAATCCATTCATGAATTCAAGAACTGAATTTATTAAAGGGAAATATTAATTGCATTTATTTCAATAAGTTACACCTTAAATTAATACTGTTTTGCAAGTAAAATTTTAAAGCTTTCAACTATAGAATGAATTACATTGTTAATAATTATTGCTTAGTTATTCCGTGTGAAACATTGTTTTAACAATGCTGAACAAGGCGTTGTTTGAACAATGGTAACCTGAAGATGTAGAGAGTCCTAATATGCATTCTTTAACGCTTTTAGAAAACTGAGTAGGCATGTACATTTTTATACAATAATAAAGGCCATTCCGAACGGAACAGTATCTGGTTTCTCAGCAATTTTTGGCTCCCTTTTCATTTTGTTAAAAATAACCTCTTTGTACTCTTTTTTTTAATAAAAGCTACAAATATGATTTCACTAAACAGTCATAAACATTTGTTCATAACCTGTACTTGCATAGTAATATCGTGGATAGCAGAATAAGTATATGGAATTATATTTTCTGATTAATATTGCTATCTGAATTATTTCAAAAAAAATTAAGACTTAATAGCTAGTTGATTTCGGATAATAAAGAGAACAAGCATACCAATTTACGTCTGATAGTATATCTTCCGATGCGTTTACGAATGTTCCATAATGTTTACGGAAACTGCTGTAGTTTTATAATCAAGTAAAATTGAGTTTTTTTTTTTTAACAAATTCAGTTTTTTTTAAATACGACAAACATTAAGCCAATTTATAGATTTCACCATATCTGTATTTAAAGTGCGTACTCCTGGCAGAAATTCGGATTACCATTTAATTCTTTCTCTTTATTACATTAAAAAAGCTTTTCTCTTTATGGAATTTTCTGTTGCATTCACTGTGTTTAATTACTTATCAACATCTGGAGACTTAAGGATCAATTTTATCTGAATATATTCCATGCTTCACACTTTCATCAGGATTTTTTAACATATGTTATTACAGTAGTATTAAAATTATATTTTTAGAAACACAGCATTAAAATGAAGCATTTTTATTTCCCTCTGTCATATTTTAATGACAAAGTAATTATTTACTTTTCCTTTTGGCGATATCTAAACTGATATATGAACGAGATAATAAATATTATAAATCACAATTTATGAACTGCATTTTGCCCAACCAAAGAAAGCTATTGTAAACATATTAAAATTAATTTTATTTTCAGATTCTTCCAATTTTAATAAGTGCTTTTTCTCCCTTAATTGTTTCAAAATATTTGTATACCTGTCGTTTTCTTTTTTTTTTTCTTTCAAAATTCATTCTACACTTTTTTCTGGAATTTTCACGAATTCTTTTGTATTTTATTCTCTCAAAAGTGGCAGGTGTAGAACTATTGAACTCCATAACTAATGAAACCTTCTATACTATTTGATTCTTTTGAACAAAGCATATTTCTTCGCAACACATCTGCTTTAATATTTCCGAAAATGGTTTTGAGCATATGATGAAATGTTTGCATAACAAAAGCAACTTTTTACGGTTAGCAAAACCACAAAACACTCGTTTGGAAACCCATAGATGTATCGAAAACTGCCAGGAAGCAATTGGTCGAATACAATTTTTAATATAAAGGAAATTAGGCACTAATTATATACCTGAGAAATCATAAGTCGATATGCTACACATATTTTTCATAATGTGCTAAAACTTGCATTTATTGCTTAGATTCTAGCTGCATTTCTTTATCCTTTGAGAATTTTAAATAATTTCACAAGATAAATTTGTAAAACTATATTCATTCGTTTATTGTAAGACCATTTTAATAAAGATTTGTGAATTATTATAGAAAAACAAAGAAAATAATTGGTTTTAGACTAAAATTAAAACTTTTTGGACAATAATAAGATATTTTTCGAACAATAAAGCTTTCGATGGTGAATCTGTAAGAAATCCTTTACTATGATTTCTTACAGATTCACCTTCTCTGTAATATCTGCAAGAAATCGTATTCTACGATTTCTTACAGGTTCACCTTCTAAAGCTTTGAATTATTGTTTTCAAAATAGCTTATTATTTTCCAAAACTTTAAGTTTAAAAACAATTATTTCCTTTATTTTCATGTACATAATATTTTACAAATTTTTATTAAAGCGGTCTTAAAATAAGCAAACGAATATAGTTTTACAAATTTATCTTGAGAAGCTATATTAAAGTTCAGAATCCCAGCAATAGATTCAACTTTTAGCACATTTTGAAAAATTAATTCTCTAATTTATTCGCTTATTGAATGAAGAAAAAATGCTGGTACAATGAATAATATATCAGATATTTAAAAGTGAATTTACATCTTCATTGAGGGAAGCATGTCTGTTAGAATTTTGACTCACTGTTTTAATTTGACTTCATAAAATAAGAAAAGATGCTGGTACAATAAATAATTTATCAGCTAATGAATTTATCTGTTCATCGGGGTATGTAATTATTTTATAATTTTGACTCAGTGTTTTAATTTGACTGAATGAAACTTTCAGAAAAAGCCATCAGAATTTTCAATATTGCTTTAAGATCGCACAGGAGTTTTAGAAAGATTTTGTAAAAATTCACATGATCACAAAAAGTAATAACAAAAGATAAACGGGTTTTATTATTGAGCAAATATAGTGTAAAATATTAGATTTAGCATAGAGAAATTAATTTTAATGGGATTGCCTACAGTAACCATGTAAATTTAACGTCAGAAATCAGTGCCTTACCATAGTGAGAAGAACATGACAAAAAAAAAAAAAAAAAAAAAAAAAAAAAAAAACGATTTTTAGCGCTCAGTTATGCAAAACTGCGGAAATATACGGAATGGGAGCAGCAGTTTTAAAGTAATTTTGAGGCACATTTTAGATCTTTCTGAAAATCTCTCAAAATGTAATCTAAGAGCCTTAAACTACATCCTCGAAAAGCCTTGTGTCAAACAGTGAGATACTTCTCCGTCTTATAAAATATGTTATACATTTCACCATGTTATTGCACTCATTTAACTTTGAAAAGTGCCCTGCTGCTCGGTATGATGGTAATGATACAGGCTACCATATAATTTAATTCGGCTTTGAATCCCGATGAAGGCACTAATGTTTCAAATGCATAGTATCTAAACAGACGAGGGAGCTTAAAAAAAGAAAGTTTGTCCTATCCCCGAGAGGCTGGAGACAGTAGAAGAGAGGTAAGTGATCCTTTGTCGTGTCTTCTGTAACAAAACTGGAGCGAAACTGGAATAATTTATATAGCCATTCATAAGACAAACAAGACTTTAAATAATAACACATGCTATTTTTGCTCTTGGTCATCGTGAACTTCATTGACTTGATTATACGAGATTCATCAAAATTCGTCATGACCAAGAGGGCAGACATTATGCTTAGGCAAAGAGAATTAGCAGCATTTCTTAGTAACTAGTGATTTTTTATGATATGGAATAATAAACAGAATTTTATTTGGCTGATACACAGTACGTTCACGTTTACACAGCTTTAGAACCGAATTTATAAATTTCGAGATTTGCAGAAAGCAGCCTTATTACTATTAAACTTCTACATGCTGCATGTAATGCTGTATATCTCTTGACAGATTCTAATAATGCCTAATAATGAGTTAATAAAATGCCTTCTTAGAAGTCAATTATCGAAACCTTCTATCTGTCTTTCATATTTTATAAATTTCTTAAATGTTTTTAGATAGGAACTGACTTCAGAGAAGAGAAAAATGTTACTTTTGCCAAACGTGGTGCACAAAGGGATGATTAAAATAGCTCCACTTCTGGTTTTAAGTAAACATATTGTTGAAAATTGCACTGTGCGAAAACAACTTTATTGTTTTTAGTTGCTCAGCCTTCGGGTTCAGCAGATATCGGCTGCATAAAACCAAACAAGAAATTGCATTAAAACATTTCGCAAAAAGATGATATTTTGGTAAAAGGGTTTGTTAAAAGGAAGTTGAGATTCTAATAATCATTGCCATTACAGTTTCAGCTGTTTGAAAAAATGCAGTCCTAATATTTTGCAGAAATACTCTGTGTTGCCATGTCTAGAATTTCGAATTTATTTTCTGTTCCTTAGGATATATAGGAAACTTATCCAATGTAAATATTTCTCCTTTACCGTTGGCAGGAATGTGCGCTTATCTCAATAAATCGAATAGGAAGAGCTATTTTCTGGCAGCAAATTCCAGTGAATTCAAGCTGAAAGGGCACTGAGCAAAAGAATCTAGCATTTTGACAAAGTGTATCTTACTCTGAAAGAGGTAATGGTTATGCAGCATGGGTAGAGAAATGGAGCTGTAATGGTTATGCAGCATGAGTAGAGAAATGAAGCTTTTCTGAACCCTGTCATTCATGAAATTCATAAAATGCATCTCTCCTTTCAGCTGTCCAAATCCGGGAAGCAGTCGGTCTATTTACGCAACGTGGACTTGAACAGCACGGGGACGTACCGGTGCGAAGTGTCAGCGGAGGCGCCTTCATTCCAGTCTGTGGAAGCGGAGAGAGACATGAACGTGATGGGTGAGTGCTCCCGATTACACTTAACTCTTCCTTGATCTACGATATGCTATTTGCTTCTGCGATGGAATGTTTGCGTATTTAGCTGTTTATGCCAAGGTTTCTGCTAATTCAGCGCAAGACAGGTTTTTAATTTAATAGCACTAGAATCCAGTCTAAAAGCAAACAAATGCTGCCTGTTAAACATAACAATATTTTAATGAAAATATATGTTCTTTTAAGCATAACGTATTAAAATAAAATAAAGAAGACAGCAATAAAAGTAATGATAATATACTCAGAATAAATTATTCTCATGTGGTTTGAAACTTTAGAATAAGTTACTCATTGTCCTGTAGTTACTAATCATATAAGTACTGTTGGTTATAATATTTTGAAATTAAGTATAAGAATTTTATATAAATGTTTTAGGCACTGTGAGTGAGAGGTTTCTGTAAACATAAAATCTGAATTATTACACAGGTCTCGTAGCGTAAAAATCCCAGTTATTAAAGCATTCATTACAGTTTAATAAAATCGGAATACCTTAGATGTAAATTCTTGGCATTTGGCTGAATAAACGTTTTCCCTAGAGTATAGGATCTGCCACAAAGTTAGCGATGAAAGCTCTTTTGCCGAACAACTAATTGATCTATAAAGATACAAGCTTTTATATTATATACTTTTAAGATTTACTTTAAATGATTTGTTATTTCTTGCTGAATCTTTCCTACATTTCTCCTTCCTCATCTACTTCAGAGAAACATCTATTTCACTCTAATACTCAAAGTAAAATTTGAAGAATGTAAGTTTAGAATCCAGAGTTGCCAATCTCAGACTCCCGTGGTGAAAATTCTCTGGTATTATCACTGTTGCTATGAGCAGATGAGTGCGTTTAATTGAAATTCAATTAATAATCATCAAATGGTGGAGCCTAGTTGTTAGGCTTTAAATTTGAACTTTGTCCCTTGTAAGTAATTTTAATCATGCTGTGCATATATCATTCTATGTATGTTTGTCCGCAAGTCGAAGTTAATTTTTTAATCGTTTCAGTTTTAATCAAATAAATCCTTTAGTTGTTTTACATTTCAGTGCTTAGTATTATGTATGAAAGATAAAGACGGGATAATAATCTGTTCTGCAGTCTACGAAAGTTGGGTTAGTTTTTAGAATAATCCAAATCATGATTTTAGAATAATCCAAAAACCTTATAAACTAATTAAAAGTTTATGCTACAGAAATTACACAAACATTTCTTACATGACCCTCTTCACCCAGAGTCGATATTGTTTGCGTAAAATTCTGCGTCGTGTTTTATGAAACTTTGTAATTGGAAGTATATACCTAGGTTAAGATTTAAAGAAATAAAAGTTCTAAGTGTTAACCTAGGCAAATTACATTATTGAAAGCCTTGTGTGAATAGTAAACGTTAATCGGAAAAGTAAAAAAAAGTAATATGTAAAGTAACGAACAACAAAAGCAAAATGAGTAGGTTATTCTCTTTTTTTATCATTATTTACATACAAACTCATACGGCTATTAATAACATCAAGGTTATTCTTTTTCTTTTTATTTCTTTAAAGTTTCCTTCATAATCAGTCACTTCAAAGAAAAAACCCTATTTCTCTTGCTTTTCACTATCTTTTAATTAAATTAGTTTTAATCAAAATTAATTTTAATTAGATATTTTAAAATTCGAATTAAAGATGTTTAGTTCGTATCTCGTATTCTTTTTTGCAAATTTTAATCCATCTCACTCTCATAGAAATGAATATGTTACAGCTGAATGTATCTCCAGAGCCGGTGCAACAAGTGCGATCACAAGGATCGGAAGAACTTTTTTCATGTTTCTGAAAGCACTGTGAGGCAGAATTAAGGAACCGCCAAAGATTGCAGTAAGCGGCAAGAAGCATAGCGCCGACTCTGTCTGAATCATACTATCATTAAAATACCTTGCATTTCTCAGTAAAGAGTTAAACGAACTTCAGACTATTTAAGAACAAGACTAGTTAAAACTTTTACGAAATTTTTCAAAGGATTTCAAACGAAAGGGCTATAATCATAACTAGGATATTAAGGATACTGATCCTTAAATTTGATGAGGCCAGATCTTTGGGTGTCAAAAGCTAATTGAAAAAAAAAAAAAAAACCACGATGAAGTGTTTACGCCAAGCGCTGAAAGAAGGTAGAGCTGATGAAGCGGATATTAGCAGTGCATCATTTGGCAAAATCTTTGAGTACTTTTGATGACATCTTTTATCGAATTCCCCATTGCCATTATTATTACTTGCTATATGAGAAAAAGTAGTTTATTTCTGATTCGTGAAGTATTCATAGTTCCTTGTTAAAGTGAACTGCAGAAAGGTTTTACAAATTTTATGTTTTTATAAAAGTCTACTTTTACTAAGTTTTTTTTTATAAAAGTCTACTTTTTGCGTGTTGAAATCAAGATCTAAATTTGTAAATTTGGAGAACAGAGAATTTGTAAATCTAAATTTGTAAATTTGGAGAACTCTATCGATGTACCGTTTCATTCTCTGAAACTCGATGCAATTTTTATTTCAGTATTCATTATCTGAACCCTACCTTTTTTAAGAAAAGTCGCAACTCTGACGTAATTAAATATTCCAATAATAGTCAAATTTTAATTCACAAGCAATTAATCAGCTGCACTCTGTTAGTAAATAATATGTATTTTAGACACTGCCTTGACTATATATTTTTATTCTCTATATGTAGCAACATCTATAAAATAATTTTTAAGAGCATTCTGTGCGATATTCGGATCTGAGAATATTTAGATATTTCTCTCGTGAGAATAAAGGAAATCTATTGATCCTGCAGTCATATATTTGCTATGTCTCTAAAGCATTATGCTGTAAGGTACCAGAAATATATTTTGATAACAAGCGAAACATACTGAAATGAAGATGTAAATACAACGTGTAAATTTAATATGGGGATTTTGTTTTGCATAATCGAGGGAAAAATTTCTTAAATCTTTTAATTTATTATCTATATTTTTATGGTATTTGGTTTAATAACTTTCTTTAATTTATCTTCTTCCGCATCTGGTTCAGGGAACAATCCTTTTGCATTAAGCGGCACAAGTTAGAACTGTATATATGTTTATAGGTTATAAAATCAACCCTATCTGAATGTATTTATGAAACCTTTACGCATTTCGATAAACAATTGATACCTTCGAAATACTTAAAACGAAAACTTTAAAACTGACTGAGGCGTATAAAAATTAGGAATGCGAGATACTTTTATCTGTTTCAGTACAGGCACCATTCAACCGACTGAAAAGACTAATGAATGATAGTATTTCATTATGAGTTCGGTCTTTGGAAAAATGAAAGAGGTGCTTATTGATGGGGCTTGGTAAAATTAAAGGATTCGTATTCGTATGTAATGTAAAGTGAATACGAATCTCTTAGAAAGCAGTTCTGCCGATACAAAGAACCCACGAGTGTTTTACGTTTGGTTTTTATTTGATTATGGCAAAGCACTCAAAGGCTATCTGCTTAAGAAGAGAGATGCCTTCGTGGAGGACGTTCTAAGGGAAACTGGTTCGTATATACGTTTCTCATGAGGATTAACACGAAAACGCCCTTGCAGCCAGCCCGTTCGCCGGTATTCGAGCTCGGATCGAACTACCTTCATTGATCTTAGCGCTCGGTCGCTGGTGGTCATACTTGTGTTTTTCTATCTATTTATTTTTTCACAATAATGAAAAATAAAATGAAATTTAAAAAGGTTTTTATGCAATAAGCTTTTATTTAAAATGGGTATGATATTTAATGTACTAAAAGGAGAAAAATAATTACTTAGCATATAATTTAATGAGACTTAGATTAAATAATTATATTTACAGAATTTCTCTACAATTTTTTATGGCGAATAACAAAAACGTGCTGCGCCCATGCTCAATTAAAAAAGGTAATGGCTCATATATTTGAAAATCCAATAGATTTGTTATTTAGACGAATTATTTAATTTGGTATTCCCATTACCAGAATAAAGGTACCCATATAATAAAACATTTTCCTCCTTTTAGTACATGAATTATCATATCCATTTTGAATAAAAGCTTATTGTATTAAAAGCTTTTTTTTATTTTTTATTATATTTTCTGTTTTTAGTCTCAGTTACACGTTATCAATGATGAACGTTTTAGTCATTAATAACACAAATAATAAATTGTAAGAGAAATATGAAATAAAGAAAAGTAACTGAACGTCATTCAGAGAATGAAGAAATTGCTTTGAATATTCAGTTTCGAAAATTGTGCGTAATAACAGTGTTCTAACCAGTGTTCTTGACCCTCTTGAGCTAAGTGGATAAAAAATATTGTAGAAAATAGCTCAGTTTATATTTTTTTGTTGTCATTCTTGTTTTAAACGAGGGCCAAACTTTTTATTCGCTATTTTTAAATGACCGGGCGCTTTATTTAATAGTCATTAGCCTTGCGCCACTACAAGGGCCGGAAGTGGATGCCATTTTATTATGGAACCACCTAAGGCGGCCACCGTTGTCAAAAAACGGACACTTATAACCGTGCCTTCTCCGGAATCCGAGCCCGGGACCATCGCTACGGTAGTTAGGGTAACTAACCACTATACAGCCTGTAAATGCTTGAAAACTTTATATCCGATGTATTTTCAGATGCTGAGATATTAAACCATAAATGAGAAACAGTCTAAGAAATCAAGCTCTTTTCAAAAATTCGCCAACAAATTCAGAAATTAAATTACAATAAATTTCATACATATTTCACTGAAAAGATTTTTTTTTCCGCTCAATTCGATGAGCGCATGGACGTTTATAACGCTCAAAAACACTATATTGTCGAATATGTGCTTTTCGGACAATAACTTACATCGCTTATAACGTTTTTTGCAATATATATATGATATAATATATACATGAACAATTAACATATATATATATATATATATATATAAGACTCTCGCATGCGAGGTTTTTCAAACCACCGGGTGCGAGAGTTTAAAACCTGA